CCTGCACTGGTTCTTATTCCCCTCCAACCCTTTCTACACACAACAGCTACAGTGATCATTCACCGATACAAATAAAATTATAATATCCTCCTCCATGAAATCCTTTGCATTGACTTAAAAATATAGTTTAAAAATCTTTTACACAATCAATATAGCTCAACATGATCTGGCCTCATCTTCCTTTCCAACCCCAAATGTCCATCAACTGATGAGTGCATAAATGCAAGGTGGTATGTCTATGGAATTAAATATGATATATGCTACAAGATGGATTAACCTTGAAAACATGCTCTCTCTATATACTCTTAAAGTCTATTTTTCTCAACTCTCCATAGAAATCCATGAAGTCAGTATTTTTTCCAAGAGATACTTAAAAATACTTAAGACTATATAATTATAATTAGTAAATTCACATTGTCCATTCACAATCTCTTTTGGAGGGGCTGTGTTTTATCTTGTATAACCAGGCACTGCTAAATTAATGTGATGAAACCTTCAGAGTGAGAGAGAGCAACTGTTGTCCTCACTAGCATTGACACTTCTAGTACTTGTTACCCCCAATCCACATTACTGTTCCCCAATGATCCTAAAAGTTGGAAAAAATTTCTCTATCTGTGAATGACAGATCTTTCGTTCCAAAGAGAAATGCTGCTCACATGTTCTTGCTCTCTCTTTCTATTTAGTTTTCTCTACTGAAGAATGTTGAATACTTTGAAGACTACCTCTGCTCTATAATGCACTCACCCCAAATTGCCCTCAAAAAGAAAATAATATTTTTCCTTGAAATTAATCAGGCAATATTCCAGGAACCAGTGAACACTCCTACACTAAGATTGGTCCCTACCAAACCAGCAACTCAGAAGAGAGATAGTTTGTATTCTTTCCTTTCCGACTCAAAAGAATTCATTGTGGGATCCTGGGACCAACCATCAGTTGCCATTTTTTCACAAGAAGCCTGGGGCCCTTTTAAAAAATGAAGATTCTGGGTGGTCTATACCGATAGCCCAGGGCTGCCAAAGGGCAGGGAGACTGGCCCCTGCCTCAAGTCTGCACGACACAGGGCATTTTACCATATAAAGAACAATTCTGAGGGATGGAAGGGAGGCAGCCACAAGAATGCACCCACAGACCTCCAACAATGGTGAGCTGACTGGCCAAGGGCCCAGCTATTGGGGGCACTGAAACCACCTGCCACATTTGTGCCAAGGCCACAATTCTTCCATGCTGCTCCCAGGCAAGGACAGAGCACAGCAAGGGATACAACTGTGGGACTCCTGATGACTTCACAAGACCATCTAAGGCACCCTCACCAATTTTCCCTCCCTCTCTCTTCCTCACTGGGCTGACTGACACAGCTGACTGATTTGCATCTGCCTCCTGCCCTGGCCCTTTCTACCCTGGTCCCTCCTGTCCATTTCTCCCACAGGTGTTACTCCCAATAAAAAAAAAAAAACACTTGCATGTTGAATCCTTCTTGGCATTTGCTTCTCTGATGACCCAGCCAAACAGATCTGGGCTAATATCATTGCTTAGATTTACATTTTCCCAAAACTAGCAACTTTTAACCAGGTTCTTAAAAAATGGATAAACAAACGGAGATTTTGCATTGTAGATCTCAGCTACAGAGTTTCTCCTCCATGCCATTCATCCCTATCTTGAAAAAGACAGTAATAAAGGAAAATTAAGTTTTTAAGTAGATGTGTCAAATTAATAACTTTCCTAATACTAAGAGATTCTCCTTTAATTACAGATCCACCCAGTCCTAATGAGAAGGGAGCAAATTAGGAGCCATTATTCAAAACTGGCTACTTCTGTGTGTATCTCTCTGATTCCATTATGAGCTCCTGGTGGGTGAGCACCCTGTTTCAATCATTTTTTTCTGAACACTGGGTTCATAGCAGGTACTCAATAAATGCTGTTGAACCAAGGGAAATGATTAAACCACAGCAAGGTATAGATATTAAACTGAGGGTGGGTACCCAGACCTCTCTAGGGACATAAAAAAGCAAATAAATTACATCTACTGTTTTCATGATACAAACCTCAGAAAAAAAACTTCAAGAGTACTTTTGCAAACCACAGAAAATAAAGTTCAACAAACATCTATCATGGGAATACGCAAAAGATAAAGTGAAAAACATTACAGTACTGACTTTAAACTGTTGAACTCTGCACCCTATTAGCCTAAAATGACTTTCTAGGAACTGGCCAAAACGTCATGTCTAGATTTAGAAGAATAAGTTGCAATAAACACGTGGTTAGATATACATATACAGACTATATACTTGTGCGCGCACACACACACACACACACACACACACACATATATTATATACAATCTATATTTTATAAGCTATAGATACGGTTGTCCCTTAGTATCTGGGGGATTGGTTTCAGAAATCCCCACAGACACCAAAATCCTTGGATGCTCAAGTTGTTTATATACAGTAGTGTAGTATTTGCATATAATCTACACATATCCTTTAAATCAGCTCTACATTACTTAAAATACCTCATAGAATGTAAGTGCTATGTAAATAATTGTTATACTGTACTGTTTAGGGAATGATGACAAGAAAAAAACCCTGTACATGCTACAGATGATTTTTTAAAATATATTTTAGACCCATGGTTGATTGATTCAAAGGATGCAAAACCCTTGGATATGGAGGGATGACTGGATATAGATTTCTTCATACCAATAAATTTCACTGTACTGTAGATTTACTCAAGCCTTATTATTTATGCACTGCCAGCAGATGTTAATACTTCTCCTTAATAAACATAAGGAAAATTCTTAATCTTCCTACCATATCAGGTAAAAGAGTTTTCAAAAACAAAATATTGATCTATTTAGAGGCTGGTAGAGAGTTGACATTTATTAAATAATTTGATAACAGTAAACAGAAATAGAACAGAGTTTGAGAGTTTGATCATCATTATCCACAAAGTTTGAGTCTTTCATCATCATTTTAAAGTAATTTTTTTAAACAGCTGGCATACTATATTAGAGATGATTAAATTCTTACTACAGCAATGAAAACAAGTATATTAGTAGACACCCCAAACAATGAAGTTAAATAATATTTCCCATAGAAGATTAATATGTCTAAATTATACCTTGTCACTGGGGAATTTCTGCTGTACATTAATGGATTTAAAACCTTATTAACTTCCCCACACGGTTTAAGAACCTCATAATAACTCTGGCTTGACTCATGTATTTTTAAGCACAGTCAGTAAATTTGAAAAGGTGGAAAATATTCCACATACCAGAGTCAGAAAAAGCAGAAAACATTTTTCTTCCTCCCCTCTTCATTAATTTCCCCAGAAATTACTTCAAGTGGGGTGAAATTAAAGAATAAAGGTACACCTAAAACAACCTACGGCAATTTGAAATGATTAATTCCAGGTCTTTTAACATACAATGGTCTAATGAAAAGTTTATGTAGAGTAAGTCCTACAGAATTGCAAGTTGGCACTAAACTATCTAACACTGGAAGTCTAATTGTTGCCCCACAGTCTTAGGAAGAAAATAAAAGCTTAACTCTCCACATTTCAAATTGTTAACATGTCATTATTTCCTATGAGTCAACCAAACAACAGATACAATTTGAGATGCCTACCAGGTTTAGGGAGTAATAAAACATCTCACAATAACACCACAGTTGAAGGAACTAATCCTAAATAATTTAATATATACTTTATAAGAAAAAATTAGAAAAGCAAACAATTCTAAGTAATTAAACAGAAGTAATGAATATATGAACAGTTTCAGTTGAAGGTTAAGGAAAACAAAGGGGTCTATAATTTTAGTAATCCTGACAACTTTGGTAGCAAGATGGAATCATCATCATTTTCCAGAGAAGACACTTTTGATTTAATATAGAAAGAAATGAAGTTTTAATGACAACAAGTGAACAGGTGGGAAAGGCACATTTATTCCTTTTCCAAAGGTACTGTCTTCCTAGTTTGCTGTCAGAAACCACTTGTACAAATGCAGGACTTTTGAAACAATTGCTTATAAAGTTTCGTTATAAATGACTTTGGGCAACAAAATGTGGTACACATATTGAATATAAGCAGTCTTTCATGCTACAGCATCTCTTTTCTTTTCTTCATCTGACAAATATTTATTGAGTGCCTAGAACATAATGAACCGTTTTATGCCGGGGCTAAAGATGAAGCATGGATCGACTGGACTAAAATCCCCTCACCACAGGAGCTTACTTTACTTGCTAGGTGAGACAAATGATCAGCAAGAAAGTAAGTAAAGGATCTACAGTGTATGTTTTACCACCGTTCCATAGTCACTCTGCCATAATATTGTCCTTTGGTTCAATGCTACTGGATGTGGTTCAAATAAAGTCATAATATTTTGACTTTATATTCCAGATAGACCCTCTTGGCCAAATTTTAAGGTAGATCTGTCTTAAAAGGATTGCCATGATCTAAACGGGGAATCAACAAACTTTTTTTTTTTTTTTTTTTAACATAACTTAGGCTTTGCAGGCCACCTGTGGTCTGTGTTCTCTATTCTTTCTTTCTTTTAATCCTGTAAAAATGTAAAACCATTCTCATGTCCCAGGTCCCACAAAATAGAGTAGGGGTTGAATTGGCCATGCAGCCACAGTTTGCCAATCTCTGACCAAAAGGCCTGAGTATACTTGCTATTAAGTAGCTATCTTCAGCCCTAAATTTCATGCTTCATTCTAATTTTTGCATTTTCTGATTTTTTGCATTTATTTTTTTGCTTTTTATTATTCATTTACCAAAATCTAATAAAACATTTTTTTCTAGAGCTACAATTGTAGCCTCAAAGTCAGTTCTGAAGAGTAGGGTCACCTGCTCTATTTCACACAAACAACAGAAAAAAAATTCTTAGCAGAAGATCTCTGGCAAGTCAATATACCAAAGATAATCTATATGCTGACAGAGATTGTTCATGCTCCCTACCAATTTCCTGGGGCAGACACATATAAGATTAAATGTTCCCTTACCTTACTGGAGGAACATCAATATTGGAAGAAACAACTTTTCGTTTTTGCTCAAGGAGACAGATGGAACGAGTGTTTTCTTTTTCATGGTCAAGGACCCGGTTGCCTTTTTTGGTGTCTGCTGTTTTCACATCTTCCTCCATGGCCAAGGAGAACAAGTGTTGATGAGACATTTTTTTGCTAGAGTCACGTTTTAAGTCCTCTGATTGAAATGTGAAGGTCATTTCCCGCTTAATGCTCCCCACCTGTGAAACGAAGTACAGACATTCTTACTCCCATAAAACATCAGCTTTGCACAATTACTACAGATGGCCATGAGGAGAGACTACAGACACTATCCCTCCGTTCATCTTGAAGATTTATAGTTTTAATAGGAAGAATGCAATGTAGAAATAAAATAGCTAACTTCACAAAATAATATACAATCAACATATCTGTCATAATGTAAACAAGAACCATCACAAACACAAGAAATACCTGTTAAGTATACAAAAACTTTGAAGATTTGAAAGCATAAATCTTCTAATTCTTTTTTTTAATTGAAAACAGTCTTGTTTTTTCTTCCACAACTAAGAAAACTCAAGTAAGCTCTCAAATACTTCAGGCTGGTTATCATGTTTAATAAAAGAGAGCTAATATAAAAAACCAAACTTTATCTTTGACTATTAATACTGATTTGAACCACACTCTGTAGTTCATGAAGAATTGTTTCATCCTTCATCTACACCAATTAAGATCGTAATAAAATCCCTTCTAAAGACATATGATAAAGAAGTCACATTAATTTTTCTTTCCATTTTTAACTAAATGCAATCATGATTAAGATGTAAGACAAATACGAAATTAAGCCTCAGTGAATTGAATCCTAATATTTCAGACTTTGTGATAACTGAAAAGGGCAAATGAAATTTTTTTTTTTAAAAAGAGGTTTTTGTAAGGTAATTGGTATTGTAAATGAGAACTGGAGCAAACCAGTTAAAATTCGAAGTGTACAAAGATGAATCAGACTATCCGGTAACATGGAGCCTCACTAATCAGTGGGTATATTTCAAAATATGCGCAACCATAAGACATTTCACAGGTCTATACGACAATCCTTCCCCTCTTGTGGAGTCTGTCTGTAAAGCCAGTAAATCTTCACTCATCCATTTAAATAGAAGAGATGCTTGCTTGTTTATTTTTAATTTTAGGTAGGAGAAAAAGCACAAAAACTTTGATCAAAAAGATTTATAGAATCTAATGCTATAAGCAAAAGTCATTTTCTTTCTTTCTTTCTTTCTTTTTTTATGAGTTGGAGTCTCACTCTGTTGCCCAGGCTGGAGTGCAGTGCACAGTGCACCGCAGTCTCAACTTGTTGGGCTCAGGCGATCCTTCTGCCTCAGCCTTCCAAGTAGCTGCAACTACAGATGCACACCACCACGCCCAGCTAGTTTTTGTGATTTACAGTAGAGATGAGGTCTCACCAAGTTGCCCAGGAAGGTCTTCAATCCTCTCGCCTGGGCCTCCCAAAGTGCTAGGATTCTAGGCTGAGCCACCATGCCCGACCAGTACAGGTCATTTTCAACATGAGAATAGGTTTATTTGATAATAACAGCCTGGTAAAGAAAGACATTAATAACTAGAAATTCTCAGACTAAAGCAAAACTCAAATATATGTGTGTTGGAGTCATGAGACCTGCCCACATACGAGAATTTCCAGAGCCCAGGGATAATGTATGCCTTGGAATCCCCTTGGCTGGCATGCATCTTTCTTGTGACAAGTACTAAGTGAAGCTCTATTCTCTCCTTGGCCTGTCCTGTCAGGAAGAAGAGGAGATCATCTTCCTATGGTTTTCCTGTCAGACCCCCACCCAGCTCCACAGAAAACTGGTCAACTACTTTTGCTTTATGGGTAGCTCATTAAAAGGTCATATTTCAGCCTGTAATCCCACGCCTTTGGGAGGCTGAGGTGGGTGGATTGCCTGAGCCCGTGGGTTCGAGACCCAGCAGGGCAGCAAGACCTCATCTCTACAATAAATCAAAAAATCAGCCCGGCGTGGTAGCGCATGCCTGTAATTCCGGCTACTTGGAAGGCTGAGGCGGAAGGACCGCCAGAGCCCAGCAGGTCGAGGCTGCAGTGGGCCGGGAGCGGCCACTGCACTCCAGTCTGGGTGACAGAAGTGAGACTCCCACTCAAAAAAAAAAAAAAAAAAAAAGGTCATATTTCTTAGAGTGTATTAATGACATAAAATAAGGATCCAAGAAAAAAACTAGTGTCTGCTTTTAAATGTTAACTGTTTGAATGACATCCATAAACAACAGAAGTAATTCCAAACATCCAAAAATGTAATGAATGCTTGATAAAAATGTAGTATAGACATTGACAAATAATTTACAAGTATTTTTAAATATCTATCACTAATCAATCTTTATGTCTGGAGGTGGGGGAAGGGAGGTGTGCTTTACTTCCCTATCAGTCTATTCCTAACCTACGTTACAACGGAAATACTCTAAACACCAAGCATAAGAGAAGAAAAAGGCCTGGTTTTGATGACTATAAATAGCTTCTCCTTAAGTGTCAAGTATTACATTAATTAAATATTTAAGTAGTCACAGTATTAAGTTGAAACAATAATTGCCATCCACGCCTCCTTTGGGGCCAAGTTAATTGGTTAAAGGTATTCCATTCAAAGTTTAAAGGAAGAAAACAAGTATTATAGGAAGTCTAGCTTTTAACTTTGAAAATTTGGAACAAAAAATCTGAAGCCAATTAATGCAAATAGAATTAATTTCTTATAGAAATGATGTTATCATTGTATGTCATGCTCTAAGCCATGGATTCATAATAAAATAAATTACAGTAGTATTCAACAATGCAAGCTATAAATCTTCTATAATACTTTCCAAGAAAAAAATTAATCTCTCAATAATAATCAGAGAATTTTAGCAATTCGATGGATTTTAAAGACAATTCAGTCCAAACTACTTTTTAAAAGGAAAATAAAAATGATCGAAAAGGACCACAAATAATTGTAGAGAATTTAGACACTTTGAGTCATGGGTTTCACTGTTTGCAGCACTGGTAGAAGGGATGGTGGCAGATGTAGATTTATTATGTCACCATTCTTTAAAGCTTGAATATACATATCAAACGTCCCCTCCTTCCCTCCTTCCCTCCCATTCCCTCCCTTCCTTTTCTCTCTCTCTCTCTTTTTTTTTTTTTTGAGACAGGGTCTTGCTCTGTCACTCAGGCTGGAACACAGTGATGCAATTATGGCTTACTTCGGCCTCCAACTTCTGAGCTCAAGTGATCCTTTTCCCACAAAGTTAGCACTACAGGCATGTGCCACCATGCTTAGCTAGTTATTTTTTTCCTTTAATTTTTTTTGTAGAGACAAGGTCTTTCTATGTTGTCCATGTTGGTCTCAAACTTCTAGAGTCAAGTGATCCACCCATCTAAATTTCCCAAAGTGCTGAGATTACAGGCATGAGCCACCACACCTGGTCACATGTTCTTAATGTTCTTTTATTCATGTCAATGAAAGACAAAAAAGGAGAAGCTCACAGGAGAGAAGAGAGTGGAACAAATATATGAAGGCAAATCTTGAAAAGTTGGGTTCAGAAATGGCCCAGAGAAACGGGTGGTAGCTGGAGGGGCTACTGGACAAGCAAATGTTTTAAGATTGGAGGTTAAAAAAAAAGCATGGCTGAATACTGAGGCAGAAGAAAGAAGCAAAAGAAAGATATAATCCCATTTATATAAGATTTCCAGAAAAGATAAATCTACTGAGATAGAAAGCAGATCAGTGATTCCTTGGGGCCAGGGGTGGAAGCAGAAACTGATTGTAAATGGGCATGAGAGAACTTTTTGGGATGATGGAAATGTCCTGGAACTAGACTGTAGCAATATCTGTATGAACTATAAGTATATTGAAAATCACTGAATTATATTCTTCCAATGGGATGGATACTATGACATGTAAGTTGTAGCTCTATAGAGCTATTTAAAAAAAGAATCTAACCAGTAGTAACTGGAATGGAGGGTATATTTCTAAGAACACCTAGACCAAAATTTTCAAAATTGTGATGCAGAGACAGCCACAAAGTCGATGGGCATTTAAAATAAATAAATAAAGCACCCCAAGCTACTGTAAGCAGTTGGGTGGTTGCCCTCAACACTGGTAAAAATCAGTCCTCATACAAGCCAGCTCCCCAGGGTTCCTCATCCTGGAGGAGATACTTTTTTCTAATTCAGCCACTTGGAGAGAAAATTTTTATGCTTCTCTGCCCAAAAAAAGGAGACTTTTATTTCTTTCCCAATTTGTACAGTGCCCTGGTGACAAAACTGTTCCTGATGGTCTGCAAGGCCTAGGCTAAGTTAGCTTCCTTCTTTAAAGCTGGTATCAATTATGTGACTCATAAATATGAGCTGATATTCTTGCTAATGGAACATTTGAGACAACCTGAGAAATCACTCTACGCTACAGCTCATAAGCAGGAAAATGGTTCAAAGATCGAAGACAGCCAGAAAGAACAAAAACATCTGAAGGAATGGAGAGAAATTAACAGCAGCAGAAATGCTATGAAGTGCAAAAGAAAAAAGCAACAGCAAGCACAGTACCAGGTAACCAGTAAGCATACTCACCCCTAGGGGACATTGGGGATCCATCAAGGAAGGAAGGGCTTCTCACAGCTATGGGATTCTTTATAAGCACCAGGAAGAGAACGAGACATAGGAAAGAAACTGACAACTTTCACGCTGAATGTGCTACTGCTTGTCATCCTGGAGCCTGGATCACTTCCAAACCTGATTCACTGCCACTGTCAACTGAGGATACATCAATTAGGAGGGTAAAAAGCCTGGGAATTATCCCCAGTAACCATAAAGACATGTCCAAGAAAGAGAAAGATTAAGGAATTTCTAGGAGGGTGTTTTGTTTTGTTTCTTTTTCTTTTAGCACGCAAAGATTCAGAAAGCAAAGGAAGATACTACAAGCTGATAACTGGCTATATATATAGTCAGAGATAACGATCCAACTCTATACTAGAATAACGGACTTTTGGCAAAAGACAATATGAATCTTGTGAGATTAGGAACAATCTCCTTGTCAGGAGATTCCCTGACCTGAAATGTGGGGGTAAGAAGGTTTTAACCTAAAATGTGGGGGTAAGAAGGAAAACGTCTAGATAAAATTACCAAGTTATGGCAAATAATGAAGCAAGATTGCTAACTAGTAATTCTTAGGAGAAAATACAAGGCAG